GGTTCAAAAATTGAACCCAATTTACGAAACTACCAGTCTTCAGGGACTGATCCAGTACATATGTCAGCTGTGCTTTTTTAAAAGATAGCTGCAGACACTCCTCCCCACTGAACTAATGATATACTGTAATTAACATACACAAACACATTATGATTTGAGTCTCCTGCTCAAGCTTCATATTCAAAAAAAGCTGCATACTATGTCCAGCTCAACATTCCACGTGTACACTTAGTACCTGGTTTAAATACTTGCTGCTTGTCATTATGTGACAGTTCTTACTACAAAAGCTTATAAACAAAATATCGGCAGGTAAGAGGAAAACAAGGTGCAGTCATCGGCATCCTAACAACTTCTCTGAAGTTCAAGGGGAATATACACTTACTTCAGGCAAAAAAGGCACAAAGGTATGCAGCTGTGAAATTAATATTGCTAATGAGCTACGGGGATAAACCATCCCTCGAGATAATAACCGCTGATTTGTTTGCGGTCTAAGAAAGTGGATTAGTTCAGAATATCTTTTCCCCGTTCAGGACAGAGCTCATCACATCAATGAGTAGAGTTCAGCGATAGCTCCAGCTCCACCTGCATCAGGTTACTGACAGGGGTAAGGAAAACTGGAGCAAAGCAGGCCTGCACAGAGAGGCTGCAGCACGCAACCCTGCCCCTGCCAGGGCAGCAGAGCACGGAGGAAGGCGTTTGCTTGACCGCTTTCTCCGTGCCCTTGCACCCTGCAAGAGAAACATTCAGAAAATGGTCTGGAACAAAAGGCGGGCAGCGAGGGCCAAGGAAGGAAGGAAACCTTTTGCAGTGAAAAGGACAAAATTTCAGCTCCTGTAATGACTTCACAGCCACAGGCAGTTTTGAACGCTGGGCCAGAGTGGGCGGTTACAGCAATCTCCACAGTTTCACACAAGGACCACACTACAAAGCTGCACAGCTGAGGCAAGCGACCTACATCACATTTACACAATTGAGCTGCATTACTTCTATAGAGTAAATACATAGCATCGTCTATAGGTTGTCCGAAGACAATTAACTTTCCAAGTATTTTTCAAAATACATTCTTGAATACAGTAGTTACTGTAAATATCTTCTAAGGGATTGTATAAATTCCATCTGAAACTATACAAAAATTTCTGTACAAATTTGCTGACAGCCAGAACAGTACAGTATCCATTCATTAGCCATTGATTTTTCAGCCCTTGAGATTGTCTAATAGCTACAGCAAAAAGTTGTCATGACTAAATCTAAGCAAATCCAATGTTAACATTCATTAATCAACTCTGTATTAAATACGCTGAATGAAACCACACACACACGCACACTACACTTTAACCAATTAAACAGTCATGCATATCTTAGACAAAGCTTATTCCATTTAGAGGCATCCGTAAATCGATGCATATATAGTAATTGCTACTACTACAACAGGCCAAATTTTAAGAGATCAAAGCAAAATACTATATCGCTATAGTTAACCGGTAGTCTGCATCTTTGGCTCATACATCTATCATCAACCTCCCTACTTGAATTTGACTGAGGCAGATAAACTCAGGGTTTTTTAAAATGAAGTGCTTTAAAGTCAACATAAATACTACAGGTTCCATAACAAAAATATTACAATGCAAGATTACAGCACTGCAATCAAAATATTACAAATAAAATGGGACCTCCTTCCTGAGGGACTTTCAACTAATACTTGAAGAGCATAAAAGCTCCTGAAGTGCTTTGCAAATATAAATTACTGATCTCAACGCTGGAGTACAGAATCACCATTTTACAAGAGGGAGAGTGGAGGCACACCAGCCAAGCAACCAGTGTAATAGTATGAAGTGACTAAAAAAAAAAAAAATGATCTCCTGCTCCTAATTGCTCTACTAAGCTGCTTGTTATTTCCACCAAATCTAGAAAAATGCAGTGCTTAGTAATGTTTTATAGGTACAATGTTTTCATCTAAGGAAATAAAAATGTTCAACTTACATGTTTCCTCTCTAATACTTTTATTATCTGAAATGCTATTGTTGAATTCTGATATGAGACAGACGCCATAAACTGTTGTTTCATTGCAGGGCCAGAACCGACGACCTACAACCAAAAGGGCGAGCTGAGGCCTCAGCACAAAAGCCAACACTGCCAGAGGCACAGAAAACTGTGCCAGCCTATTTGTGCAAAGATCCTCATTTTCAGGTTTGCACTGGTATAAAAGTACACCTTCTAGTCTCCAGAAAGAGCATAGACGTTTTTACCTTAAAGTAGAGACACAGGCAATTTCACTTGAGATTTTACCTAGACACTGTTTTAGTGCTCACAGGGGCTGAACCAGTCGGATTACTCTATGTGAAAACGCCATGTAGCAATAATATAAATAGTAACATTATTTTTCAGGAATTAATCCATGTGTAGGTTCAGGATAGAGAAAACCATCAAATAAATAAGTCCATACTACTAAAAAAAATTAAAACACTACGTTATAAAAACAATGTCAATGGTAACTAACAATAAACAGAAAGCAAAACATCACCAAGTTAAAACTGGTAACCAGTCTACATTGCTACACCGTTTTTTTTCTATTAACACAATGTAATTAGAAAACTGAAGATACTAATACTCTTTCCATAAGAACATTTCCATAAGAACATTGGTTCTAGCTGCTGAGCTTTCTAAGAGATTTCTGCTGTTATCCACACTAGGGGTCAGTTGACTGACTTGGACCTTAGTCATTTGAAACTTCCTTTTAATACCATGTATGTACCTGATTGTCTTGGTATCGCTGGGATGGAAATCCTAGAATCAACTTTCTATTCATGAAAGCTGCGCTGCCCTTTTGGATGAAGTAGACAGTTTGTTTATGTTTGTGGGCAGCCATCATGTGCGGGTCTCCATGGTGACCCAGGTCTCCATGGTGACCCAGGTCTTCACCAGTTTGGGGTTAGCCAGGCACTAAAGCCAGGAGGAGCAAAAGCCAGGGCAGCCAACTCAAGCTGGCCAAGAGAAGTATTTCACACCATAAACATCACACTCCCTATAAACTGGGAATTTTACAGGGGACTGTGCCTTCTCCTGATGGCCCTCATCCCTGGAAGGTCTCACCTGCCGTTCTGCTTCCATGGCCTGCTCCCCTGCAACTACTGTGTTTTCACCAGAGCTGTGGTGCTCAGTGCTTGTGACATCCAGCATTTGCTGCAGTGAGTGAGAAGCTCTCGACCACTACATTGGCTGAGTATAACTTTGTGTGCTTTCTGTTAGTATTAATGTTAGTATCTTATTCTTATTGTTTTATTAAATCTGTTTCTATTTTGATCCACAAGTCTCCTTTCCTGTTTCAGATTCCCCTTCCCAGGGGTGATGGTGGCACTGGGTGACAGAATAACTGGCTAAACAAAGAAAACGATGCCCATATATTTTTCAAATAGTGTGATCTGAGAGTGGTTTTGCTCTTTGCAAGCTTTTGATTCCTTCAGTTAAATACTCTATTAGACCATGCATAACTGTGCAGATAACTTGCAGGAAATCAGAAGCATTAATGTTATCTGTCCCACAGGAACGAAACAGCACTGCCAAGCGACACTCACTGAATGAACTATGGAACACGATCTCATGATCTTATTTTTTTTAAATGTAATTGTTTCCTACCTACATGGAGAAATCCAGAATTCCCAAACAATGGGGAAATTTTGCAGTACTTGAATAACTGAACACTTAATGCTGCTAAATTGGAACATTCTGTTCCGAGTCCTGGTTTTGTCAAATGCCAAACACCCATCTTGTAGCCATGGTAAAAAATGGTTGAGGTGGTTCACAACCTCAGTAGAGGTCTTAAGTGATGGGACAGAGACCAGACACATTTTAAAATGGAGATGATGTAAGGGAAAAATAAGCATGCTACAAACACTTTTTTTTCCCTCCTGACAGCCATGTACTCTGCTTTCAGTTTCATGCCTTCCAGTTTCACTGGGTTTGTCACAGACTTCACCTTATTGACACTTCTCACAGTAACATGAAAGTACTTAATATAATTTGACAGGGTTATAGTTTATGGACTTAATATGCAAAAAAAAAGAGTTAAAATTTGGTTTTCTTCTGCTATTGGGCAAACAAGCTGGACATCCATTACGAAAACCATCTTTCCTACATCAAATTTTTTAGGCAACTTGAAGAGCAACTACTTGCTGTAGGGCTCCAAGAGTGTTCCAATTGCAATTCCTAGAGTGAAGTGCAGTTGCAGAAGCCTCTGGCTTGACAACATACAGCGACAGGTCCTTCAAATCTCTGCTCTAATTTCACAACACAGATAACGTCATACAAACCCTGGAAGAAGGAAAGGACTGAGAGGAGTAGCAGCACAGGTGTTTTGGTGCTCTGGTTCCAGAAACTAGTAAGAAAAGAGGCCTAACGAAGGAAAGAGTGTCCAACTGAATCATTCTTCACAGCTTGTTTCTACATTCAGTAGTCTGGACGAAAGACTTCTTGTCGTTTGTACCACTCTGTTCAAATGATGATTCTCACCTCCCCACCAGACTCCTGAGATTAAATATGCACAATCCTCAGAGATGCATGTGCAGCGCTATTTGCAGACTTCCTACATGGCTCCTTAATAGAAATGCAAAGACCTGTGACACAGCAGCATTTATTAAGTCATTTGCTTATGATGATGAAATGTGTCATTGAGCAATGCAATTGTCCCCCATGTCCTGAGCGTAACGGTCCGACATCACAGTCCTTAATTCATCAATATCCTTGCGTAACTGACGAACATCCAAGAGTTTCTTCGAAAGGGTTTCCGTGCTGTGGTAATTTTCATTCTCTTCAGAGGAACAGCTCAGTGCTATGAGAAACAACACTCAAGGTTAAAGCTCTAGCAACTGTACTCTGCAAATACTTCAACTAGTCAGCCCCCCTTGACATGAGGGGTAGGTCACTTTTAATTACACCAAGACAAATCACACGTTAATATGATGAAAAGCCAACAAAACATGGTGCCATGTGAACTTAAAAGTCAATTCAGAGACCATCAGCGCTTCTCTCAAAGACATGCTTTTCTTTTTACACCAAGCTCTAGACTTGCTAAAGTCAGATGGATCTCAACAGCAGTGAGAAAACTGGGTAGAGCAGTCATTTCCTAGAAATTCTGGGGGATGGTCTCATGGGCTTTGTGACTGGCACAGGCTGCACTCCTCAGTACTTCAGAGGGTTACAGTGCAGATGAGTCTATGTGGCATGTAGTACCTCTTGCTGCACAGGACACTAATTTTACCTCTCTACCTTGCTGATGGCCCAGTTCAGCACCCAGTCTTATCTGTTACATCCTATTGTTTCCTGAATGTTAATCAGGATTAGATATATGTAGGTCAAAAAAAAAGTAATTGTTTACCAAGCTTGTTAAAAGAAAATACCCAAGGCACTATGCTGAAGCTTTGACTGGATTCAGGGAGTAGTTCTCATTTCCTAGTTAACAGCTTAGTAGAAGACTAACTTCCTTGCTAATTGCCTTGCAACTAGACACCCCAACCCAGACAGTGACATGTTGAAACGGCAGGTGTATATTCCTACTACGTCACCCTACGGGCTTTAAAAGAAAAAACGTGATGTAGCCACATCAGGCCCGCTTATTATGAAGGAGGTGGGGCATAAGTTTATGGGGCAGAACACATTTGACAGAAAACCCTCAGAGTGAGTGCAGTGTGTCTCAGGAGGGACATGCACCTGGCTCCACACCTTTCCTTTCTAGTAGGGCGAACATATCTGTGTTTGGGTCCAGACGAAGAGCCAGTTACCTGCTTTCCTGGCTTGGAGCAAGGGCCTGTGTAGTCACAATGGATTCAAACAGCAACTGGGTAATTTTAGACTGGACAGTAGGAAATAATTTTTTTCACAGAAGGAGTAGTCAGACATTGGAATAGGCAGCCCAGGGAGGTGGTTCAGTCACCATTCCTGGATGTGTTCAGGGATACGGTTTGGGGTGAGCTTTGAAGAGTAGGGTTAATGGTTGGATTCTGTGATCCCAAGGGTCTTTCCCAACCTGAATGATTATATGATTCATATGCATTTAAGTGGATCCATTCAGGTGCACTAAAAGCCCATCTTTTCCACAGAACTCCAGGCATACAGTTCTCACACACAACTGTTCCAGTTGCACAGCAAGGGTGACAGTGGTCTGTCCAGCTGGCAAGCTGGAGCACCACTTAGCTAAACTGTTATTCCTCTGTGTCAAAACACTACTAAGCACTGGAATGCCAATGTCACTTACATCTGATTCCCAGCAATAAGGAAAGGTTAGGCTCCTTGCCCTGAGCTCTCTGGGTAAGAATACTGCACAGTGCTCTCAAGTCAAACAAGCAATGCGACATTTCCTTGAACAACTGGTCTGCTATAGGCATCTTCTCAGATACTGGCTCCCTGGACTGCATCACTTGTTGCATTTGTTCCTTCAGGCAGACGTTCTCTTCCATCAGTCTTTGGTTCTTTGTGAAAATGGGATAAAAGAAAGTTAGGCTGCAGCATGCACTCTAGCAGAAAGTTTTCTGTTTCAAACCACAAACAACATAGTTGAAAATTACTTTCCATACATATAATCAATATTTCTGTACCCCCTCAAAGAATGGCTCTCTATTTCATAATTACCGTTGTTTAACAGCATTTACCTCTGAAGTCCTCACTTCTTGAGGTAAGGATGGTATCTACTGTATGTCTGCAGAGCAGCCAGCACAGTCAATGTAATTATGTAATTAAGCTCCAAGTCCTACTAATGGATCTTGTAATCATTCCATAAGGTTCTTTCCAGCTGCTGTAGTCAGAGGCTGGGTTACTGGAGGAGTTTTTACTTACTTCAGAGAGAGTTTTATTTAACTGCTCTATACTTCTTTCTTTTTCTTCAAGCTCATTTGCCATCTTCTGAACTATCAGCTCTTCTTGCACAAGTTTCTCTTGCATAGACTAAAGTGAATGAAAACACAGGTAATGACTTTAAGTTTTCATACTTTATATTAGCACTGACAAAAAATTAATCTTGGTAAAATTCTTAAGTTTCAGTTAGTTATTGCTTTTGTATTATTTTTTTATTTTCTACCATGTTCCACCTGGTAATATTCAGCTGGACTCCAACAGCTCTCTGTACACTAATGCAGTATTCCAAATTTCAGTGAAATCCTTTAAATAAGCAATATCCATTTAGAAATAAAAAGACTGTATGTATGCAAAGCCTTACTCCAATATGGAACGCATGAAGTCTAAAACAACAATGCAATACTGTTTATTCTAACCAAAAAATTTCATTTGAAATAAACAGCAAATTAACGACACTTAGCTTAATTTGTGCACTTCTGAGTCATAAATGAAGAGTTTTTTGGCCCTTTCTTTCCACAAAGAAAGCCCTTGCAGCAGGATTTCCTACAACCTTCCATAACACAGAATTCACCTCACCTTCTACACAGTTGAGAAGAAAGCCTTTGACAGCTGATACAGAGCAGCAACCTCTTTAAAACTATTTGCACACAAGATAAAACAGAACAGTCTATACAACTCCACTGTGCTGAAAAAATGACAACTGCAGGCAAAAAGTAACTTATTTGTAGTTTATAGTGTCATTTTTAACTGACAATAATAATTAGTGTTTTCAGCAATGTAAAAAATTAACACATTTCTAGGATGCCATTGTACTTAAGTATTGGAGCTATCCATGACTGACTTCCCGATCAGTCACAAGCAGCAACACAAGCACAATTGGTACAGCACAGAATCAGCTGCTGTCAATTCCCTCGTTTTGCCCTACAGAGTCAAAACTGAGAAATCATGAGATATTTCCAAAGTGGATTTTTTGGGGTGAATTCAGCATGACCACAGGTGTCTTTGTTGACAAAAGCACTCATAATTATTCCATTAGTCGGCTTTTAGATCTGTAGATATGTCTTTCAAGGTCATCTGGCAAAATTCAGAAAGAGGAGTATTCCAACCAACTTATCTGAATACTAATAACAATGAATAGTGATTATATAAAAACCCATGATGCTTTAAGAAAGAGAGATCATGTCAGCTTTCGGGAAGAAAAAAAAAAAAATAAATCCTCTTTTCTCATTAATGGTATTACTCACAAATCCAATGCTGCGCTAGCACAGTGCATATCAAGTGTCCTCTCCATCCCCAGCTCAGCATGTTGATATGCAAAACTTGTTGCCCACTTCGAATTATAAGATGCAAATCTGATCCCGTCATGCTCAAAATACAGCTGGAGCACTGGTAACTCTGGTTCATGCCTTGGCACAGTTTTGATTGTAACCTCCCACAGAACAGAATCAGAGACCGTGACGGGCGTGAGGGAAAGGAGCATTTCGCAAACCAATGGCTCTCCATTTAGAGAATGACACTGTCCCAGAAGAATGTATTGTCTTAAGTCTCTGTAGGAACAATCCTAAAGATTCTTTTTCCAAAGTAGAGAACTCTCTCATAGGGAATTCTATATGGTAGCTTAAATTAAATGCTACAGAAAGATCAAAAGTCACTCTTTAGTAAAAGAGATGTTGAAACAGAAAAGATAGGTTTAAATTTCTGCACTACGGCTCTGCAATCCTATTCCAAGACATTAAAAAACCAAGCTCCTCACTTGATGGAACCACAGCAAACTGTATCAAGTTATGTTGGGTTTGGGGTCTTAGGGAAACAAAAGACACCAAATTTACTCTTTTGAGAGTTGCTCCTAAGACATATGAAGAACAGAAATTTCAAGGTACCAGTACCAGGGACTGTAGCACATAGAAGACTATGTCTGTATACAGGCCTGTCCTTTACAATGTTATGTGGGCTACAGGGTGCGTGAGAAGCCATTTAACCAACTTGCCAGCTGTAAGAATTATCAGTGTTGACAAAAAGGCAAGCAGTAACAAGAGCCAAGGGAGGGTCGACACTGAGTGGAGTTTTTAACACAGTCTGGCCACACACAGGAGGTGAGAACCCTTGACAAAATCTCCCAATGCGTTCAGCTCAAACACTGCACTAGCAGCGAGAGAAGAAATACTTTGTCATACCCTTTGCAAAACTGGGAAACGACGTTGCGATAAAACTTACACACTTACTGTGGGCTAAATTCCACCACCATTTATTTTCATGTAAGTAATAACAATCAGCAGGCGGAACCCAGAAATGACTACTTGTTTGTAAAACCATTTTCTCACATTTGAGCTGTTTCTCAGTTGACCCACACCATGCCCCTCAGAAGGAAGTGCTGAAGCAACATACATCCTAAAGATAAGCTGTGCGAGACAGCACAGCTTCATGCTCCAGTGGGAGGAAGAGGAGGAAGAAAGAGGGCCCTGCCTCACGTCAAAGGAAATACGCAGGGCCCAGAGAGGGCAGGAAATAGCTCTGTGTCAGGCATTTCCTTAATCGTGCTTGCAGATGAGCAGAATCTGCGGTGGTGGTGAGCTGTTGTCTTTAATTTTTTTAAAAACATTACCTACTAAGAAAAATGGTCATATGGGGTCAAGACAGAAGGTCCTGCTAGCTCTGTCTGGAGTAGCAGCAAAACAGAAGATGCTTATAAAGAGAAGGAAATCAGGGCAATACAGGTGCTCAAACCACCCTCCCAGCTTCCAAGTATCTTCAAATTTTAATAGCCTTTGATGATGAGCAAGTTCAGAGGCATCTAGAGCCCCGGTTACAATATACATGTAAGTACTACCACTTAACATGTTCCACATTCATGTCAATGCCAGACATTAAAGGTTTCATTGTGCAGCCTTCCCAAAGGTGGGTAGGCAGTGAGGAAGCCAGGTTCAGAAATATTACCTTCCCCAGTGTATTTTCAGAACTACATCTGCTGTTAAAATTTAGGTGTCTGCAAACTACTCCAAAACCAACTTGTGGAATATTCCAAATAAAGTGCACATGTTCAGCTCACGAGTTGCATCATTTAATGGGAACTCCTAGAAGTGGAAAACGATGTTTATTTCTAAAAGATCCACCTAACATCTATCATTCTCTCCTATCCTAATCTTAAAGCTCGGGAAAATCACGTGTGTGTACCAGCTTGGGTGAGCCCACTGTGCTATGACTTCCCAGTCGCTCATAGTGCTACTTTATTTTTCCATGTGCTTTCCAAAGTTACAATTACTCCCAGCCTGACACAGTTTGGGTTTATTGTGACATCACAGGATTGACAGAGGTACTCGGGGTAACACAGACATCACACAATCTGACTTACTTCTATTGTCTTTTTTTGTACCAAAAAAATGTTAATTTTGTGATATCTAAATCATATAAATAAAGATTTTTTAAAAAACACCACTCAGATCTACAATTCTTCTTTTTCTGAAGATGTACTCTGTATGCAGCATGACACCTTCTAAAGACAAACCAGAATTTTAATTCCCCACACTTAGACAAACCAACCAAATCAAATCATACAAGGAAGACCAAAATCATGCCACCACAATTATGAGCAAATAGAAACTAGCACTGCTTCATACACTGCTGTGTGAAATGGAATTTGTTTTCAGCTTGCAAGTTAAAAAGAAGGAACTGAAATACATTTTCAAGCATGAGTTTACAACGTGGCAGACAACAGGGAATAAAATGAGATCTTCTGAGCGGAAGACAAATTGTATCTCTGTGCTGATAAGGGATTTCAGTTTATAATGACCTAATTTTCAATGCTTCCCAGGGGACAAATGTGGAAGGCCAGGGAGATCAAGGATACAAAGAAGCTGCAGTAGCCTGCAAGTAATTTGAGAGCCAATACCATTTTCAAATCTTTTCTGGCCTTCTACAAAATACCTTCAAAGAGGACAAGTAAGAGAAAGTCCCGGAGAACAGAACACTACTTTGATCACAGACTGTCACAACTGCTCAGCATTTCCCAGTCTCAGCTCCCTAAAGTCACTTCAGACTAATCACACAAAACAGTCACCAGTATAAACGGGCACAAAGATCACTAGTCTTGAGATACAGGTGATGAGAGAGAAAAAAATCAGAAATTTTAGGAAATATGAAAAGATTGGTGGTAATACGCTTAGGCAAGCTGTGCATATCTCTTATAAACACAACATATACAGGTAGTATATAAGTAAGTAAACTTAACTCAACTAGAAAGAGAGACAGAATCTCAGAAAGGTCATGGAGATCAATTGATTTTTTTAAATTACGAAATAGCCAGAACACTTGCCTGTGTCACAATTTTTGCACATAAGAGGCTTCTCCATAAAAAACATGTCAATTGGATAAATTTTGTCTTCTTCAAACCTAGAGAAGCTTAAATGATTGATTTTGCTTTTCAGTTAACAGAGATGTTCTTGTTGCAACTCAAATTCCCCTACTGCTTCTCTACAGGTGTATTTAATATCCTGCAATTTAATCAAGGAAGAATACGGCTGTTGACAGGAATCAGGCCTGCCATTTACCTTCATGGTAGAGAAAAGCAGCAATATAAGGGCAGAAGACAACTTATTTCAACAGCTACTAAGTAAAACTTTGCATCAGTGTGCAAAGTTGAAATAAGAAAGCATTTTCTCTGAGCAAGCGTTATGCAGGCAGTTTTGTCTTGTCATTATTTGGATTCTAGCTCCACAGAGAGCTCCCTTCCACTTTGGAAGGAGCAGGATTCAACTCGCTGTTTACAACCATTTTATTGTTCTTCTAAACCTAACATACAGCCAAAGCAGAAAAACTGTGTAACTTTAACCTCTCTGGAGAGCAAGGAAGCAACCTGAAGTCAAATGCCAATCTAGAATAAGAATGCAGAAACCAGAATTCATTGAATTAGGTCTTCAGTATTTACTGAAAATAGATGTATGTTTGCTTGGTTTTTTAAATGCTCAGCTTTTTCCTAGAACAAGTCATACCTTCTTCCCTATAACCTGTATAATGTTTCCTTTTCTCCACAACAAACACTGGTCACTAAGTAACTTTCAAGTCTCAGGAGCGGGATGTGTCAACGCCATCCAGAGAGCTACAACTGACTCCTGGCTGACAACCTCTGCTGTCTTGAAAAGTCCTTGGCCCCAAGCTAGGTGCCCAAGATCCACCAAGAGAGTTAAGATACCTCCGAGTAACGTGCCAGAAATCAGCTGAACAGGAACTTGCTGAAACGATGGGAAATGTGATATAGCATGGTTTAGAAAGGCACCTGTCTCTACAAAGGATCTCAGCACTGAAGCTCCTAATCAGTATCACTTTTAGGACTTATCTGAACCCCAAAGTTCAGGGAGGCTTCACTGTTACTTACAGAGGCAGTCCTCACGCTCAAAACAGGCAGTTCTGAGATGACATTCGCTAGAGCAGCAGAGTAAGGATGTCACATAGCAACAGTTTTTCACTTTATGATGGAGGACCAGCAAAGTGCTAAACCAGATAAACACCAGTAACAAACACATTACGAGTCTACAGGAAAAATACAGGGCAACTACAGGGCATAAAATTAAGTTCTTGGCATTTCTACCTTTGCCTCCTATTTGGGAAGATAAAAGGATGAAATTCATCTCCAGTAATGCTATCTTTATGAAGTAAAAACGTACAGAGTAAACAACAGAATATACATTCTTCCTTACCTGCACGTCTAAAATCAATCCAGCTATCTGATTTTGTTGATTGTCTATGACCTAGAACATAAAATTGAGTAATTTAAAAGGCTTGAATCTCTTCAGATCATTTTCTAAAAAATCAGCTTACAGGTGTCTAACCATAGATTTTAAATGGCATCTTTGAAAATGTAAATTACAAAGAGAGTTCAACTCTGTCATAACAGGAAATTGATGCAAAGTTAGTGTACTGAATAGAAACAGGTATTGAAAAGAAATCTGAATTAGCAACAAATGTGTAATTTTTCAGTGAGACAGTTCTTTCTGAAGTAAAAAAAAAATAAATGCAGGACTCAAGGGTAAAGGTGCCCCTAACAGATCATTTGCAGACTAACCTTACTGGCTTTCTCATTCTTTTCTTTGAGAAATTCATTCTCGCTCTGAAGCTGTTTTGTGTCCAACATGGGAAGGCGAATACCATCTTCCAGGCATTTTTCTACTTTCTGTTGTAAACTGCAATTCAACATGAAAAAAAAAATAAATCAAAAAGAAGTGCACTGACAGAAGCCAGAAAGGCTGTGTGTTCTAGTGAAAATTAGCAAGTTGTACCATCTTCCAAGCAGAACTGTAAAACCACACCTAGGAGAACCCAGTCTTATAAATGAACAAACCGGAAGTTGATAAATGATGTAAAAACCCACAACTAGTGAAGTTATCGTGGCACTGACAAGACCAGATTTATGGAGATTCTGCGCTGCACCTCCCAAAAGGCACAGCTCCAACAGCACAGGGTAGGGAGATGGGGCAGAGAGAAACAAAAAAAAGCTTTGTGGTGCTTCACAGCTGCTCTGTGCTACTGTGGGAGGCAAAGCCAGTGCCAGCACAGAGCAGAGGAGTCCTAAAATCTCTCAAAGTTACAGCAGCTGTAAAATCAGACTCTCTCACTGGAGCACGTACAACTCAAAGCCAAGTTCGGAATCGGAGTCTGCACCAAGTACTGGTGGCCTATCCTTCATGTCCTCCATGACTTGTAAAGGGGAGCGTAAAGCTACTCCTGCCAGCTGCTCCCACATGAGGGTATGGAATTCAGACCCTCTGTAGCTCAGCTCAAGCTCCTAGGTGTAGCTAGAGCCCTTTCCTGTTCATCTTCTCTCAGAAAGGAAATACAGTTTATTAGTGTCAATCTTGCTGTCTAATTTAGAAATTACAGTCCACCTCAACTATCTGCAGCCTTTCAGAAAAGACAGAATGATCCCCTGCTAGATTATGAGGGCACGAAGCAAAAAGGCCTTTCATTGGTGAGATGGAAACTATGCATCAACAATTTGGCTGGCAAGGTGTCCCAACCAGCTTCCATCATGGAAACACTTTCAGACTCCTGCAGCATGCACCTTTACACAAAGGAGAGACAGTGAACTGTAGTAACATCCACATAAATTATTAAAAGTGATTCTTTCCTGCCCCTCCCTCCTGCTTTTCTGTGATTTTTTTTGAAGTGTTTAAGTAGCTCCCCTGCTCTAGAATGTACCATAGTAACAGTATCTGGAATCTTCTTATGGATAGCTGTCCCATTTGTGTGACTTTTTTGTAGTTATGCAAGTTCAATGACAGCACATTAGCCACAGCTCAATCTCCCTGTAAATACCCCTATCCTCAGCAAGTAGGTAAGAAACAGCCACAATTTATTTAAATCTTTGACCCTTCCCTGATAGACCAGTCAGCCAATATCCAGGGAGCTTTTCCACAGCTCGTGACATGCTTAGTTACCTAACAGGGGTGCTGACAGCTTGTATACAATGCCCCTTTGCTGCACATGTTTATTCTATCCTCTGTCTGGCAGCAGGCTATGATGCCACTGCAGCCATGTGCTGCATATTTGAAGAAAGACTGTGAAGAGTGTCCTAGGTAGACTCTTCTCTGGGGTCTTACTTGTAAATTGGCACAAATAAAATGCTTGCTGGATTTTCTAATACATTACACCATTGTACTGCACAGTAATATATTTATGTCATGAAAAAACATTAGCACTGTAATAGATTTAAGAGTGCAAAGTCATCAGGTCTTGACAGCAGGTGGGAAATTGCGTCCATTTCAGGACATAGCCCAAGCAGTTGTTCATACCTCTGTACCGTTGTGACCAGCTCTTTTTCTTTTTTCTTCTGACACACCAGTTGCAATTCTCTTTCTCTGCACTGTGATCGCACCTCTCCGAGCTTCTTTTCCAAGTCGGTAACAGTTTCTTGAAGTTGCCTGTTCTTCTCTTCTAGAACTTGCAGCTAACACAGGTTACATTAGTTAAGACATGATGCCACATTAGGAGAAGGCCTGGCAGCAGGCCATAGCTTTGCAGTTACCTTCTGCATACTCTAAGGCCCATTTCACTTATCTAAGTATCAGAAACCCTAATAGCTGAAGTGCTTTCTAAAACACTGAATTACTCCTCTTCCTAAATGGGTGAGGAAAAAATGTATGTTGAAACAATAAAAGATCTGACAACAGATATTAGGGAGGTTGCTTGCATTTTTAAAACGGAAAACAAACTCCTTTTTCCTTACCTGTTTAGTCTGCCCTTCTATATCATCCAGCGTTGGGAGGTCTGCCAGATATTTTTCTAAGGTTTCAATTCGTCTTTGTTTTTCTTTATTTTGCTCAGACTCCTTCTGGCATTTCTTTTTCAAGCTATTAATATATCGATCTCTAGTTTTAAGCTAGAAGGAAGTAAGAGCACATATTTTATGATTACAGCGAAAAAATAAACCTGCTTTGGAAGCATGGGTTGGTCACATTTCAAGAACTGTACTCTCAGACGCATGAAAGGGTTGGTTACTGCAGAAAACAAAACCAAAGAATGATTAACCCCAGCAGCTCCAAGTCATAGACTCACACGTGACCGGAAAGCAGAGTTGCTTCACCTCTGCCCAAAACACTCCATGTGCATTGCAAACCGAAAACACAAACAGTTCAGCAGTTAAATATTCTTATTTTTTTCACCAATGGAGGTGTTCATATGCAACAACGATCAAGAAGCATTTTAGTCCATCCTTTTCCTTTGGCCTAGGAAAACAAAACACAGGGAACACCTACAGCAGCAACTCCTACACAGTGAGGAACAAGCAGTAAAAGCTGAGACAGAAGGAAGCATCAGCATCCAATTTCTGCCCTTCCATAACATTGCTGAAAAGCATACTGAAGGGTTCATAGGAAATCGTAAGGCAGAATGTGAGATGAATTACACGTTCTTCTTTGTCTTCCCATCTGCCATTTCACTGTATCACACTGCTCCTGCCCTTTGAATCAGCACTAATAGAAATCTAAGCCCAGTAGTAAGGCCCAACAACCAAAGAAGAGAAGGTAACAGTGACAACGTATCCCTAAAACATTAATTAGGAAC